CCTCTTCTGCGGCAATTTTGCAGACAGGTCCAAGATGTTTATATATTGCTCTGTTTGGTACACAATTTTGGAAATAAAGATGGCTTGCTAGCTGTTCCAAAATCAGAATATTGGGAAGGGTACACGTACTTAGCAGGAGCTTTCTAGAGAACATAAGTTTCTCAACCCCCTTGTCACTTTTTCATATGCCTCTCAGGCTCCAAATCATTGTGGTCCATCATGGTTTTGGTTGGCGTAGACAACACTACATCTTGCATAGTGGCAGGTACTTTGTGATGGCTTTCTACTTGCTTATTTTTGTCCTTGAGTTATGTTTTAAGATTCAAGGAATGTTCTGGCTTGCCAGCTGCTTCAAAACTTTTAGAATTTGGTGAAAAATACCCACATTGCGGGGGTGCTAATGAGTCATCAAGCTCCACCCCCTTGCTAAAATTCCTAGCAAACCTCATTGGTTCCAATTCCATGTCCTCTGAGGTGGTTTTTGGTCTTAGCAAAGTTATATCTGTAACTGAAATGCTTGCGTTGTCATGTTTCAGTTTGCTGTTTGCCCAGTCAATTGATGGACGATTCTTCTTAACCCACAGCATTCCCAGAATCACATTGTACTTGTCTTTTAGATTGGTGATAATGAAGGTTGTAGATGGTTTACAAGTTGAGTTGATGTGGAAATCACCTGTGTGTGCTATCCTAGATTCATGCCCACTTAATACAGTAACTGATTGGGCTTGTGTTAATTGTTCAGTTGTTAAGTTGTCTCTCAAACCAAAACTCTCACTCATTGCTTTTTGAGTGGCTGCGCTTTCCACCAGGTCTCGCGCAACCAAGGTTGTGGCAGTCTTGCTGTCAAAGATAATGACATCATTTAAGGACTTATATCACTACAATCTGCATGTAAGTTATCATAGCTTTGGGGGAGGCACAACTAGCACTCCCAAGCTTCTCCATTTTTTGAGCTTTCTGCACGACCTTCTTCCTGCACACTGTCTACTTCCACTACTTTTGATGTAAATGTATAATTGTGCCGACCCCTTCCTCTTCCACAACTCCTTCCTCCACCTCTTCCCCTTCTGTCATAACAATCAGCAATAAAATGAATTCCTTTTTTACAATTGTAGCATTCTCCTGATAAAACTCTTTGTTTGTATTTGTCTTGAGTGATGCTGAGACTATATGCAGAGCAATCCATCACATCTGGGTCTAGTTTTGATGACAGAGGTGAGATTGGGTTTGGCATTGTTGATAGTGGAGTTGTATCTTGAGCACATTTATTAACTTTGTTGTCTGTTTTGATTGCAACTTTGGCCATCTCTTCTACGTCTACAAACACGTCTTGCGCCATGTAAACTGATACTTTGCTCTTTAGTTCTTGCCCAAATTGTGACATTAACACAGATTGAGGCCATTTGACTACTAATGACAGTTTGGCAAAACAAATCCAGTAATCAGACACAGTCTTAACCTGCTTTAAGGCTTGACCTTCTCAGCTTTTGATATTTGTTCCAAATAAAAAAAGGTGGTCTTAACTGAATCAATGAAATGCTTCCATGTGATGGTGTCAGCTTCTTCTGGGTTTGGCAATCGATCAATTTATACTTGTCCCCACACACTAGCTTTACCCGTTAGATAAGATGCAGCAAATGCTGCTTGTGCCTGTTCATTCAGAAAGGAAGCATTATCCATTTTCATGTATAAGCCTATCTGGTTGATGAAGAGCTCTGCTTTTGGTATTTTTGTTCCATCAAACATATCAGGAGTGGCAATCTTTGGTGGCTTAATGCAACAAATCTGGGTTTCAGGTGAGGCAGAGTATGTATTAGAGGTCATTGGTGGTATTGTGGATTGTTTCATAGTTTGTTGATTCATTCCACCTCTTGGCCCTTGCCCAAGGCTAACTCTCAACTCCCTTAATCCTCTTTCAGCTTCTTCTCTCAATCAAGTTTCCTCATCTCGCCTTGCATTCAACTTATCTAACTTTTTCAATACTTCTTCCATTTGATCTGATTTTCCGTCATTCCTTTGAATTCAGTCTCCTGTCCAGGTGGTGGACTGTTGGGTATTTTGAAGTCCGGCATCTTGGCTGCTTGAAAGATTGTGTTTTAAAGTTTGAGATCTGAATTCACAGTTGAAATTAAAGTTCTGTAATAACAAGCTACTGAGTGTTAAGGTTTGAGAATCTTCTGATTTCATCTTTTTAACTTGAATTGTCTTCACTTGTTGGTTTTAAAATTCTACAATGTTTCTTTTAATACGGCTTGAAGCTTTTGATAGTTCTTTTGCTTTCTTTCTTCTTCTTGAATTTATTAATCTGACTTCCTTTTCATTTGACTTGAATTCTTTCTTCTTGATGTTCTTTTTCTTGAATCTCAAGTCAGACATAGCAATATGATAGAACTCTCTAGGTGTAGAGATGCAAGAGATGAGTGTGAAGGGTCCTCTGGTTCAATAGTTAGATTGCTACATGAGGAACTCATGTCCCTCTTCTCCAGACTGCTATAGAGATATAAGTACAGTATAAGCATATCTGATGAAGCCTTATAGAACTAGGCTCATAACATTGGCCCTGCCTAC